TGACTAAGGTCGGAGAGAGTTCCGTGGTGCGAACGCTCTCGACCGTTTCAATCTCGACTGAAACGAGGCTAAATCGCGATCGACTGGAGAGAGTTCTTGAAACTAGATCCAGTCATAAGAGAGATCCCACAATCCCACGCGCGCGAGGAAATACAAGATGGCTGCTGAACACGTCCGGCTATTGACAGAAAAATAAAAAAGACATCTGGAGAGGATGACATCTGTCTATTATTAGATATACGGCAAGAAAAAGTATTTATTTCTAACCAAAACTTCCATTTTGTTTGTTGGTGTTCGTGACTTATCGCGTAGTTATATCAATTTTATCATCGCGTGTAATAGCCGGGTTCTTCTCAAGCGAGTTACCTGTGCGAACAGCACGACGTTCCACTGGCGACAGTCACAATCCAGATTGTGGGTAAATCGAGATTGAAGTGAGTCGTGTATTGTGTGCGAACGGGGTATAAGGCTCTAGTTTAGTGGTGTTACAGAGTATAATACGTATACTGTATTTTAATATATTTTTTAAAAGAAACAAAATCACTGAGAAATGTTACGTGTGTTTAACAACGGGTTCGGAAAACTTTGAAAATGTTAACAACGGGTTCGGCCGAACCTGTGCGAACCCGCTGAATATCACCACTGCCCGTAAGTGATATAGGTAGCACACCTACACCCTTGACTACTCACAATATGATGAAAACTACAGATTTTGAAAAAGTGTAATAAACAAATTAGTTTCGTTTACTTTAGTTCAGTAGAATTTAAAGTAAAGTAAACAAATAAAGTAAACTAATATAAAAAAAAGAAATTAAGTAATAATAACATAAAATCAGTTGGTATTTAAGAGGAAAAATGTTGAGTAAATTTGAGTCGCTCGTTAAATCCATCCGCGTTTGAGATTTTGTCCAGTCTGATCTGTGAAAACTGTGCCTTTAACATAACGTCGCCGACTCGCTTAACACGAACACATAGCCTATATTTTAAATAGTTACATAAAAGTTGAAAATTTATAATGAGATGAGAGGAAAGAGTTGAGCGTAACTGCTGACTTGTAGACGAAAGGAATCGACAATTGATTTCAATCGGTATAGAACCCGAACACGCAGCTAAAGCGAAGGCAATCAAAGAGCTAGGTAACTAGGTAAAGTGGTGCCATGTAGTAGGGATGAAAACGTAAATCTGGTTCTTTTTTTTTTATATGTGATATGTAACTTTTTAAAACATGTTAATATTATACATTTATTGAAAATTTCTGAAATTTTGCAAGTAAGATTGTTTATAATGAGGATTAATGCTATTCAATTTTTGTGAAAAGGTAAATGGGGTGGAAAGATAAAGAGAGTCGTCTGTCATCTTTTGAGTAGGGTAAGACATTACTCGAGAACCTTATAACTTGTTGTTTTTTTTTTTTAAAGAAAGAATAGTTATATAATGATGCAAGTATTCTTTCAGTAAATTGATTATGCAGTATATTTTACTACTCATAAAATTATTTTGCTTTTGTTTATAGTTATAACAAACTTATATTTTCGTTTTTTAATTATTATTTAACAATATTAATAAGTAAATAACGCATCAAAAAAGCAGTTTCGATTTTCCTCTATATTCAAACATAGGAAATAAAGGTTCATAATTTTACTATGTCGGTCAACAGTATGAAACAAATCCGTATAAAACTAATGATATCGAAACTATTTCTCTTTATATAATAGAAATATTAAAAAATATAATATTTTGTTTCGTACGAAATTTATAACACATTATAACTTTACAAGTTAGAAAGTCATAATTAACTTCTGTATAATAAACTGTTTGTATATTAATATACAGTAGTTTAATGCTTAAAAAAGAAGCATCTATATAAATTTTTAACATATAGTTTTTTGTTTTGAACTTCTATTTATAAAAATTAGTTACGAATAGGCTACTGTAAATGTAAATGTAAATGTAAATGATGATGACGATAAAAAACTTTTGTAATTTATTTAAAATAAACTAAAATATTTTATGTACATATTATTTTGTATGAAGAAGATAATTTTTATTCGAAATAATTATTGTAATAAAGAATACATTTGTATTTACTATAAAAATCCATCTACAGTACAACCTGTCAAAAACGGAAACTGAATAAAACGGAAAAAATTCTTCGAAAAGAAAAACGATTTTGTGTGTTTAAAAAACTGTTTTAAACGGAGACCTGCCAATCCGAAACAAATATTCTGTGTCGTGTAATTCCGGTTTACACAGGTTTTACTGTATTGGCTTTCCTTAGTAAATACATTTATACTAAACTGAATATCATCGAATTATTTAAACATTTTCACCGGCATGTTTCTAGGAGTTTCTTATTATTTATTTTTAGGAGTCTTTTCTTATTTATTAAAATTATTTTTTCATTAATTATTTAGTCAAATTTATTAACTGAAAAATAATTGATGATAAGTAAACGTTATAAATAAATTAAAATTAAATTATCGACTTACGTAATAAAGAAATAAATCACCATAAATCCGAGTTATCCGAGTTCAAGGAAAACTTTCTTTGAACTCGGATAACATAGTTCAATTGAAATTAACCAAACTCTGCAAAAATATGAACCACCTCTTTAGTGTTATATTTCAAAAAACAGCAACAAAAAATGTCAAAATTCTTCTTTTCTATTAAGCATCAAATATGAAGTGTTTTTTTTTATTATATCTTATCTGAAATTTAATTATGTTTCTTGAAAAAATAAGTTATGCACATGCAAGGGTTCTACTGAGCATTTTGACAGTTAAATCGTCACAATTTAACGTGCGATTTTTTTTTAAACTCGGACAAAACAGTGCAAACGTTTCCTCTGTAGCCTTGGCTTCGCCCAGGCAATTATCCTCAAATTATAACTAAGAAAATCATACTTATTACAAAATAACTTAAAGAGAGATATCTAAGTACTGTATGTAATTGCTAACATGTTAATGTTATCATTAACTTACCCCATTGAAGAATATTTTCAATGTCTTCTCGATCACAGCTACTCGGTATGCAAATATCCACACGAAATCCTGCTTTCTTGTAACTAATAATTTCAAATAGGTTACTCATTGGAAACGGTTTCTGCAATATAAAAATATATATTATTTTGCAAGTATAATTGAACATTGTGATGTGAATACTCACCAAAGTATCTTCTAACATTCTGAACATTTTTCTCGTTTTACTATCTTCTGGCACTTCATTAAATTGATACGAATTAAATCTGATAGTCAGTGAGCAGAATTTCCCATGAATTGTGTTTAGATTTTTATTATAATTTCTTATTTTATCGTCTTTAACTTCTATATTTAAGCATTGATCGTAATCTCCGTGTAACCACACGTTTCCACTGAAAACTCCCATTGGTTTCCCTAAAGTGTCCATCACTGAAAAATTCGTGTTAAAATTATTATTAAAATTATACACGTGATTATTATATATTTTTTGTAGCGTTAGAAACTACATTAATGCTTATATTTTCACATTTCTTCTTATATGAAAATTAATAATTATTTTTAAAAATATATTTAAAAGGCACTAACAAAGATTGAAAGAGTCTCGGATAATGGAAAATGCCAGACATCAAATAGTGTAAAAACTAAACAGTTCAAAATATTGCCAATTTACGTCATAATTTTTACCATTCATATTATAATGGTATATGTTGTTATGTTAGCGTATTTTGTGAAAACTCTGTTTTTGAAAAATATTGACTGTTTCAGTAAGCACCAGTACTTTGCTCGTGCCTTGCCAACGAGCTGTTCACGTTGATTTTTCCGGTTTTTTTATAAAAACCTTTATAACACCTATATAGCACATACCAGTTTTCCATAGAAAGACCTTCGAGTGGCATTCCCTACGTGTTGACGTAAGCAAATAAACCAATCAAAATATTAATAACTATGATAAAAGTTAAATGGTAAACTTAAGAAATTGTAAGCAGGATTAATCAATTTCTTTATAATAAGATCGTAATAGATTTTAAATTAATTTTACATCCATAAAAGTAAAGGGAGTGAAGAGGAGCAAATCTGCTTTTCTTCACTTCCTTAAATTTAGTAGGAATAATCTTCGTAAATAGAATATGAAAAGGAACTAAGAAAATTATTATTTTTTACATTCCTCGCGCTACTTATGACGTAATGAGTTGAAAGTTTTTCGTCTTTACTCAATAGTATTTCTTTAATCTCACAACTCGACAAACGAACGACTGATCATAGAGGATGTGTTTAGAAGAGCATGGAAAAACTAATGCACTTTGAATTGACTTAACTACAAATATTCCATGTGACTTTACTCAGGACCAGTTATTTTAAAGCATTATCAACAGCTGTAGAATGATTTAGACTCGTGATGCATTCTAAACAACAATTCAAAGTGATTAATTTTGCCACGCTCTATTAACGACTCAATAACGCTTTTTTTAATAGAAACATTTACTTAATATTTTCTTAAGTATCAAGAATGAATTAGATAATCCAAATACTTTCATTTATATGTGAAACAAACATGTTATTTAATTAAACATACTTTAGTATGACAAACAATAATTCGTATGCTGGTTAACGTAGTACAAGTTTTTACTCTATTTTCAAATTTAATTGCACTGACCGCTGAGTTTTCATCTTATTATTCGAAGATACTTTCCACAAACTGTAGGCTTTGAGTACAAAATACTGCATAGGTAATATAATAAAATGTAGAAAATTATATATTCGTATACAGAAAATATAGCTACTATTCCAAGGATCCTGCAGAAAATAGAGGCTGCCATAAAATACACGACATCCAATTGTTCACCTGAGTTTTTCTCCTTAACTCTTTTTGGCAAACATCAGGCAATAGTTTATATTAAAATTTTTTTTCATTCTTTTCGGGTCAGCGCCAGGTATACTGTATATAAAAATTACAACTGCCATTAATACGGAAATTATGAAGCCAATGCTGTAATTCAGAGATCAATTTATTTTAAAAAATCCAACAGAGAGTTGCGTAACTTTCCCGGCAACATTTAAAACTGCGAGGGTAGAAATCCGTTATATAAAATATTTTATTTAATAAAATATAATTAATTATTATTAAATGACAAAAAGCTTAATTTTGAAAGTAGTGATGATTTTTATTTTGAAAAAATATGTTAATAACGACTAAAATCTTTATTAACTACGAACCTACTCGAGATATGATAGATAGCGATAGCTCCTTACCCCGCGATATTTATATCATCAGTATTCAGTAGTGTCAATCCCCTAATACACAAACTGTGCAGCGATAGTTCTGACTAACACACGAATTATTAAGCTTTAAATTAAGTGAACAAACCGTTTATCCCACACAAACATTCGTACATACAGGGGAAAAACCCGAAATTATTAGCATTTCTGGACATTTCAAGATTATCAAAGTTCAAAAATATAAAAATCATCAGCGGTCATTCTCTGACCGAACGCCATACTTTCCTTCTCTTGTATAATTAAGTCGAGGAAGTAATAGAGAACAGTATAAATCATAGAAAAGTTGGGTGATATAAATAAACTGTTTTGGAATAAGAAATTATATAATTTAAGTGGGAAAAATGTGTAGCGGATAAGGAAATGAGTTGACTTTAAAAGTAAATGAGATCACATTCAGTAGTTGCCTGATAAAAATAATTCGTGTCATAATTCTACATTTAAACGATAATTATAAAACATTTATTTTTTTGTACAGTACAATAATAGATGGTATTATTGATTTGCCCTTTAAGATTTACTTGATGTAAACTACAGAACAGGTTTTGTTAACTAAATGTAATGCAAGTCTTTATATCCAGACATTCAAAGTTATAAAGATATTTGCATAACAAATAATTATGACAAGAAAAAATACTTTAACGTATATTTCTATTTATACGAATACGTAAACGTCTGGAAGTGCTGTGCTTGTTTTAATATAAATTAATGATTTGAAAATCCGGTTTTGTGCTTTTTATTATTTCGTAAATATATCAAATAGAGTAAAGACTGTTCGAGACAGAAACTTAATAAAACGAAAACCTGCGTCATTGGAAAGAATTCTTCGGGATGCAGGGATTTTCTGTGCAAATGGAAAACCTGTTTAACCCGCCAAACCGGAAAAATATTCCGTACCGTGCGAGTTCGGTTTACACAGGTTTTATTGTAATTTTTTGGATTTAAAATGTATTACATTTATGTAACTTTTCATTTTTAATATGTAAATATTATTTTATTTGTGTTTAAAATACTATAAAACCTGTATAAACTGGACATGCAATGTTCCGAATATTTTTTTTTTCGTTTTGAACAGGTTTTTAAACATAGTAAAAAATTTTTAGGAGTCCAGCTATTTTCTATGTTCGCAGATTTCCGTTTGTTACGTTTCTTTGTTTTTGGACAGGTTCTGCTGTATAAAAGTTTCCATGATTAAATTTACCGGTAAATATTGAGAAAAACTGAGTAAAAACTTAAACTTACAATATCGCGTAAAATTGTTATAAAACTATTTAATAAAATTTAAAAAATAATTTCATTATAAAAAATTCTATATTTTCTCTGACTGGTGTAAAGATTATTCAGAGATTTATTTATAAATTATTTAATTAAATATTCCTGATATTAAATTAAATATCAGGAAAACTAATTAAGACCTAACTATTAATATACTATAATTGCATAATATTCAGTTGATAAATGACATAATAAATAAGTGAAATGTCCAAATATTTTATTTAAAGTGACAACAGCCTGATAAATCAGTGTTATACCACTGGCGTAGCGTAGTGGGGGCGGCAGGGGCGGCAAAATTTTACAATAAATAATAATATCTTGTAAAAATTTGAACCATTTCACTTCATATTTTTGTCGCACCGATTCGGACCGATTGAAATGACACGGAATTTTTCATTACTAATTCTGTGACAAAACTGAATTTTAGTCTTTTAAATTGCGATACCTAAATAAAGGGGCGGCAAAATTTTCCTCCGCTCCGGGCGGCTGATACCCACGCTACGCCACTGTGTTATACGTACAATATGTAATGTATAATGTAATACTGTATATAAGTAAAGCTTCTGTATTGGGTTCATCTGTGGCAATATTAATAAAACCACTCAAGTTTGATCGTGGGTTCGCCAACTATTACGATTGCCAACGCGCTAACCGCATAGGATTTCTTGGTTATTCTTCATTATTCAACCATCTAAATAGGGGTTATTTTTCTGTAGAAAGTTCTCCCGTGAGGGAGGATTTTCTACAGACCTCCTGCCAAGGAGGATGCCAAGGCATCCTCCTTGGCAGATCTCCCACGTTGTCGTAACCAAATAAACCAAACCATTCGACGATTTTTAATGAAGAAATGGCTAATTGTTTATATAAAATATAATTTAGAGACAATATCTACTTACATTTTAACGTCCATCCTTTGTTTTGTTTTAAATCGCCCAAAAAACGCATCCCACCTCTTACACACGAGCGAGACACGTTTACTTCTTGAGTAATTTTCAACATGATGGGAAGCAACAATCGAGCAACGTTACTCGAAAGATAATGAAATATATTGTAAACATCGTTTAAAATACGGCCAGATTTTTCTACGTCATCGAAAACAATACTTCTGTTCGACTTGGATGAATCTTCAACAGTTGTGAAATTGGCCAGGGGAATTACTAAGAAAACAAAGAAGAGAGTTACTCTATTCATCATCGCTTTGACTTTGACCGCACTCTGAATGCTGAGTGCGATTCAAAATATACTGCGCAAGTATTATAATATTTTCAGGTAAATAAAACTTTACCAAATTTTCTTGAATTCCGCCAATCAGAAAAATTGGAACAGAGTCAAGAAAGGTTGGGCTTTAAATATGNTCCCGGTCCGTGTGCATGTACTGCAAGACCTGTGCATTGGTTATCTTGTCCGTCCACGGAATTTTCAGCATTCTTCGGTAGAGCCACATTTCGAAGGCCTGGAGCTTTTTTGTAGTGGCTGCTGTTAGAGTCCAAGTTTCTACACCATAGAGTAGAATTGGCCAGATGTAGCATTTCAATGTGCGTAATTTGAGCATGATATTCAAGCTTCTGTCGGTAAGGAGTGTTTTCCATTTGGTAAATGCCTGCCTGGCTTGTTCGATTCTGCTCTTGATTTCGGTCTCGTGATTCAGCTGGTCATCAATTAGTACTCCAAGATACTTGAAGCGGTGTACCTGCTCCAACTTTTCGTTATTTAATTTGATCGTGATTTCGCTAGGAGTCCTGCTGACCTTCATCACCTTTGTTTTCTTTTTGTTGATTCGTAAACCCCATGCTTGACTTTTTGTGTTCACTTCATTCAAGATAGTCTGTAAATCTTGTTCGGAATCCGCTATTAATGCTGTGTCGTCGGCATATCTTAGGTTATTGATGTAGTGTCCATTAACTTTTATGCCGATCTCCCTGTCGGCCAGTGTTTGGTCAAAAATCATTTCCGAATAGATATTGAAAAGAATGGGAGATAATGGGCAGCCCTGCCGGACGCCTTTTTGTATTGGGATTGGGTCTATCAGGTCGTTGTCATAGCGGAGCCGGGCTGTTTGATTCCAGTAGAGAGTGGTGATAAAGTTGATATCGTTAGTTTCAAGCCCAAGTTTTCTCAGTTGATTATATATTATATTATATTCAATTCATAAAAGACATAATTAATAAGTGAAATGTACGAGTATTTTCTTTAAAGTGATAACAGCCTGATAAATCAATGTTTTACTTACAATATGTAATGTATAATGTAATATATAAATAAGACATTTGTATCGGGGCCCATCTGTGGCAGAATTAATAAAACCACTCAACCTTCGTGGGTTCGCCAACTATTATGATTGCCAACGTGCTGACCGCATAGAATTTCCCGGCTATTCTTCACTATTCTAACATCTAAATAGGGGTTATTTTCTAAAGAAAGTCCTCCCGTGAGGCATCCCCTTTGGCAGATCTCCCACGTTGTCGTAACCAAATAAACCAAACCATTCGATGACTTTTAATGTAGAAATGGCTAATTGTTTATATAAAATATAATTTAGAGACAATATCTACTTACATTTTAACGTCCATCCTTTGTTTTGTTTTAAATCGCCCAAAAAACGCATCCCACCTCTTACACACGAGCGAGACACGTTTACTTCTTGAGTAATTTTCAACATGATGGGAAGCAACAATCGAGCAACGTTACTCGAAAGATAATTAAATATATTGTAAACATCGTTTAAAATACGGCCAGATTTTTCTACGTCATCGAAAACAATACTTCTGTTCGACTTGGATGAATCTTCAACAGTTGTGAAATTGGCCAGGGGAATTACTAAGAAAACAAAGAAGAGAGTTACTCTATTCATCATCGCTTTGACTTTGACCGCACTCTGAATGCTGAGTGCGATTCAAAATATACTGCGCAAGTATTATAATATTTTCAGGTAAATAAAACTTTACCAAATTTTCTTGAATTCCGCCAATCAGAAAAATTGGAACAGAGTCAAGAAAGGTTGGGCTTTAAATATGAACACGTGAATTTAATATTGCGATATTTATATATGTTTTGACCAAAAACATGAAAATTAACGAGATTGTTTTTTACGATAAAGGTGACGAATTTATAGTGAAAATACGAAAATTAATAAAATCAAAACTATTTTTGAGTTTAAGAACAATTGTTTATTAATTTAAAATTTTATTATTAATTTTACATTTACTTACTCGAAGATTTTTCTGTTTAAACTGTTATAAAAATGACAAATGAGCCAATCTTTTAATGTGTTATGATTAATTGTTTATTTAATAACTATCATTTGCATTTGTTGTTGTTTATATTTTCTTGCTTCTTTATTAATTCGTAAACTAAGTGATTTTGGTAGGGATAATGTATTCCGAATTTCAATTGTCTAGAATTACAGCAATCCAAGTAACTACTCTGACCGCAGGGTCGGCACCTCTTTAGCGCCTTGTCAGGATGACACCACTGTGTCTTGTGGACAGACACAGAAACCAGATCGCCCGTTAAATTTCGTTACGCAAACGGTCGCGTGTGCGGGTTTTCGGTTTCGGGGTGGAGGCGAAAGGAGAGATCCAGTGGAATTACACTCTACAGATTTTTATAAAAAGGAAAGATACCCGTTTATTATTTGATACAGATTTTGTACAAATCATTTGGATAGATACTTAGCCAAAACTAATACGATGAAACAACTCGAGATAACGAGAGAGAGAGTTTACATTAAGTTCGCGCAAGGATAAATACCTTGATATAAATAGTAGAATAGTTGGAAGGTAATCCACGTAGGAGATTTTAAGGTGGAACTTCAGGTAATCCTAAGATGGCATAAAGTTCTTTAAACTGGCGACGTTTTTCTTTCGGCGATCCATCCTCCGGAACGGCGGCGATTAGAACAGTTTGGGTGGCGGCGGATGATTAGCGGCTACTACACTCTCACACATTTCATTGAACACTGGAGAACTCTCCCTCGACTCATCGACCTCTTTTTTTATAAGGGGGTCGTCATTGGTTTTTTCCATGGACTTATTAGGACTTTTTCTATCGCCGTCCAATAGTTCTTTTTCTTCTTCTTTTCGTAGTTTCCGGGTGACACATTCGATATATCATCTTCATCCAGGAAATAAGTCCGTGGGAAAACAATTTAATTATCCTTTAAAATGTCGGTTTTTGGTTTATGTCTTTAATTTTTTTTTCTCAACAAAAAAAAATATTTAAACAAATTATTTAACTAAGTTCGGCTCTCACGTTACGTTCCTTTACGAATTAAGAAAGAAGTAAGAGACTATGTTTAAAATCCTGATCTCAATGAAATAATTAATGATTATTTATAATTTATAACATAATATGGTGTATATTCTGCAAGGTTAGAATTCGACAAGTCGAAGGGGGTAAATTTGCTGGACGTTGATGACTGAAAGTGNATATACTGCGCAAGTATTATAATATTTTCAGGTAAATAAAACTTTACCAAATTTTCTTGAATTCCGCCAATCAGAAAAATTGGAACAGAGTCAAGAAAGGTTGGGCTTTAAATATGAACACGTGAATTTAATATTGCGATATTTATATATGTTTTGACCAAAAACATGAAAATTAACGAGATTGTTTTTTACGATAAAGGTGACGAATTTATAGTGAAAATACGAAAATTAATAAAATCAAAACTATTTTTGAGTTTAAGAACAATTGTTTATTAATTTAAAATTTTATTATTAATTTTACATTTACTTACTCGAAGATTTTTCTGTTTAAACTGTTATAAAAATGACAAATGAGCCAATCTTTTAATGTGTTATGATTAATTGTTTATTTAATAACTATCATTTGCATTTGTTGTTGTTTATATTTTCTTGCTTCTTTATTAATTCGTAAACTAAGTGATTTTGGTAGGGATAATGTATTCCGAATTTCAATTGTCTAGAATTACAGCAATCCAAGTAACTACTCTGACCGCAGGGTCGGCACCTCTTTAGCGCCTTGTCAGGATGACACCACTGTGTCTTGTGGACAGACACAGAAACCAGATCGCCCGTTAAATTTCGTTACGCAAACGGTCGCGTGTGCGGGTTTTCGGTTTCGGGGTGGAGGCGAAAGGAGAGATCCAGTGGAATTACACTCTACAGATTTTTATAAAAAGGAAAGATACCCGTTTATTATTTGATACAGATTTTGTACAAATCATTTGGATAGATACTTAGCCAAAACTAATACGATGAAACAACTCGAGATAACGAGAGAGAGAGTTTACATTAAGTTCGCGCAAGGATAAATACCTTGATATAAATAGTAGAATAGTTGGAAGGTAATCCACGTAGGAGATTTTAAGGTGGAACTTCAGGTAATCCTAAGATGGCATAAAGTTCTTTAAACTGGCGACGTTTTTCTTTCGGCGATCCATCCTCCGGAACGGCGGCGATTAGAACAGTTTGGGTGGCGGCGGATGATTAGCGGCTACTACACTCTCACACATTTCATTGAACACTGGAGAACTCTCCCTCGACTCATCGACCTCTTTTTTTATAAGGGGGTCGTCATTGGTTTTTTCCATGGACTTATTAGGACTTTTTCTATCGCCGTCCAATAGTTCTTTTTCTTCTTCTTTTCGTAGTTTCCGGGTGACACATTCGATATATCATCTTCATCCAGGAAATAAGTCCGTGGGAAAACAATTTAATTATCCTTTAAAATGTCGGTTTTTGGTTTATGTCTTTAATTTTTTTTTCTCAACAAAAAAAAATATTTAAACAAATTATTTAACTAAGTTCGGCTCTCACGCTACGTTCCTTTACGAATTAAGAAAGAAGTAAGAGACTATGTTTAAAATCCTGATCTCAATGAAATAATTAATGATTATTTATAATTTATAACATAATATGGTGTATATTCTGCAAGGTTAGAATTCGACAAGTCGAAGGGGGTAAATTTGCTGGACGTTGATGACTGAAAGTGACCATACTTGTTCTTAGTAGCCAAGTGTATAACCAGTTGACACATCTGTTTTTGAATTATAAATAAATATTTGAAAATATGATTAAATTATCAAATTTAACGTACCTACATTTATCTGCTAAAATTAATCCGACAGTATTATCTATCTTTATTATTATTATTATTATTATTTATATTCAAACAGTGACTAATGCTGCGTATATGTAGACGTTAATAATTTAAACTGTCATTTATTGATTTCATTCGTGAAAATATTAAAATTATCAATTGAATTAATTGCAAGAATGTTTAGGCTAACCATAATTACTAAACTTTATTTTTCACCATTCATTTATATTTTTATATTATATACAGAATTTATAAATTAAAATCTTTTAGTTTGTACAGTACACTTTATTTGTAAATCTATGATAAAAACATCAATGAAATAAATAAATAAATATATTTATTAAACAAAATTAAACAAGTATATGCATAGGTGACATTGACGGGTTTTTAAAAGGTCAAACTACATTGACACGAGAAAAACATCGTAAACTTTAAATTTTCCACTTATGAATATGTATAAATTTACTGAAATATATTTCATTTCTACAAGTATTTACGACGTTAATCATCTCTTTTGTGTGTTTACACGAAAATTAGCATTATTTTGTAAAAATTATAGAAAGTATTTTACGTTATACAAAGCATAAGAGGTGAAATGTTGTGTTTATAAAACTTTTCTATAAACTTATAATACAGGTTAAGAAATGCGAAAAAGCTTAAAAAATTTTAAGAAAAAGAATAAGAAACAATATTTCTGAATTAAAATAAGTTTAGAAATGAAATGTCACAAACTTCTCATTTGATACACGCCAATTGAATTAATTTTTAAAAGAAAATTTTATGAAATAGTAGTAAATAAGGATATTGCCAGCCTTATTGTTATAACTAGGAGATGCACCCGGTGTTCTCGGGCAAAAAATAACAACAGAAAAGATTAAGATTATTAGATGATTTCGTACTTCTAACCCTTCTNATTTAGTCAAATTTATTAACTGAAAAATAATTGATGATAAGTAAACGTTATAAATAAATTAAAATTAAATTATCGACTTACGTAATAAAGAAATAAATCACCATAAATCCGAGTTATCCGAGTTCAAGGAAAACTTTCTTTGAACTCGGATAACATAGTTCAATTGAAATTAACCAAACTCTGCAAAAATATGAACCACCTCTTTAGTGTTATATTTCAAAAAACAGCAACAAAAAATGTCAAAATTCTTCTTTTCTATTAAGCATCAAATATGAAGTGTTTTTTTTTATTATATCTTATCTGAAATTTAATTATGTTTCTTGAAAAAATAAGTTATGCACATGCAAGGGTTCTACTGAGCATTTTGACAGTTAAATCGTCACAATTTAACGTGCGATTTTTTTTTAAACTCGGACAAAACAGTGCAAACGTTTCCTCTGTAGCCTTGGCTTCGCCCAGGCAATTATCCTCAAATTATAACTAAGAAAATCATACTTATTACAAAATAACTTAAAGAGAGATATCTAAGTACTGTATGTAATTGCTAACATGTTAATGTTATCATTAACTTACCCCATTGAAGAATATTTTCAATGTCTTCTCGATCACAGCTACTCGGTATGCAAATATCCACACGAAATCCTGCTTTCTTGTAACTAATAATTTCAAATAGGTTACTCATTGGAAACGGTTTCTGCAATATAAAAATATATATTATTTTGCAAGTATAATTGAACATTGTGATGTCAATACTCACCAAAATATCTTCTAACATTCTGAAAATTTTTCTCGTTTTAATATCTTTTGGCACTTCATTAAATCGATACGAATTACATCCGATAGTCAGTGAGCAGAATTTACCATGAATTTTGTTTAGATTTTTATTATAATTTCTTATTTTACTGTCTTTAACTTCTATATTTAAGCATTGATCGTAATCTCCGCGTAACCACACGTTTCCACTGAAAACTCCCATTGGTTTCCCTAAAGAGTCCATCACTGAAAAATTCGTGTTAAAATTATTATTAAAATTATACACGTGATTATTATATATTTTTTGTAGCGTTAGAAACTACATTAATGCTTATATTTTCACATTTCTTCTTATATGAAAATTAATAATTATTTTTAAAAATATATTTAAAAGGCACTAACAAAGATTGAAAGAGTCTCGGATAATGGAAAATGCCAGACATCAAATAGTGTAAAAACTAAACAGTTCAAAATATTGCCAATTTACGTCATAATTTTTACCATTCTTATTATAATGGTATATGTTGTTATGTTAGCGTATTTTGTGAAAACTCTGTTTTTGAAAAATATTGACTGTTTCAGTAAGCACCAGTACTTTGCTCGTGCCTTGCCAACGAGCTGTTCACGTTGATTTTTCCGGTTTTTTTATAAAAACCTTTATAACACCTATATAGCACATACCAGTTTTCCATAGAAAGACCTTCGAGTGGCATTCCCTACGTGTTGACGTAAGCAAATAAACCAATCAAAATATTAATAACTATGATAAAAGTTAAATGGAAAACTTAAGAAATTGTAAGCAGGATTAATCAATTTCTTTATAATAAGATCGTAATAGATTTTAAATTAATTTTACATCCATAAAAGTAAAGGGAGTGAAGAGGAGCAAATCTGCTTTTCTTCACTTCCTTAAATTTAGTAGGAATAATCTTCGTAAATAGAATATGAAAAGGAACTAAGAAAATTATTATTTTTTACATTCCTCGCGCTACTTATGACGTAATGAGTTGAAAGTTTTTCGTCTTTACTCAATAGTATTTCTTTAATCTCACAACTCGACAAACGAACGACTGATCATAGAGGATGTGTTTAGAAGAGCATGGAAAAACTAATGCACTTTGAATTGACTTAACTACAAATATTCCATGTGACTTTACTCAGGACCAGTTATTTTAAAGCATTATCAACAGCTGTAGAATGATTTAGACTCGTGATGCATTCTAAACAACAATTCAAAGTGATTAATTTTGCCACGCTCTATTAACGACTCAATAACGCTTTTTTTAATAGAAACATTTACTTAATATTTTCTTAAGTATCAAGAATGAATTAGATAATCCAAATACTTTCATTTATATGTGAAACAAACATGTTATTTAATTAAACATACTTTAGTATGACAAACAATAATTCGTATGCTGGTTAACGTAGTACAAGTTTTTACTCTATTTTCAAATTTAATTGCACTGACCGCTGAGTTTTCATCTTATTATTCGAAGATACTTTCCACAAACTGTAGGCTTTGAGTACAAAATACTGCATAGGTAATATAATAAAATGTAGAAAATTATATATTCGTATACAGAAAATATAGCTACTATTCCAAGGATCCTGCAGAAAATAGAGGCTGCCATAAAATACACGACATCCAATTGTTCACCTGAGTTTTTCTCCTTAACTCTTTTTGGCAAACATCAGGCAATAGTTTATATTAAAATTTTTTTTCATTCTTTTCGGGTCAGCGCCAGGTATACTGTATATAAAAATTACAACTGCCATTAATACGGAAATTATGAAGCCAATGCTGTAATTCAGAGATCAATTTATTTTAAAAAATCCAACAGAGAGTTGCGTAACTTTCCCGGCAACATTTAAAACTGCGAGGGTAGAAATCCGTTATATAAAATATTTTATTTAATAAAATATAATTAATTATTATTAAATGACAAAAAGCTTAATTTTGAAAGTAGTGATGATTTTTATTTTGAAAAAATATGTTAATAACGACTAAAATCTTTATTAACTACGAACCTACTCGAGATATGATAGATAGCGATAGCTCCTTACCCCGCGATATTTATATCATCAGTATTCAGTAGTGTCAATCCCCTAATACACAAACTGTGCAGCGATAGTTCTGACTAACACACGAATTATTAAGCTTTAAATTAAGTGAACAAACCGTTTATCCCACACAAACATTCGTACATACAGGGGAAAAAACCCGAAATTATTAGCATTTCTGGACATTTCAAGATTATCAAAGTTCAAAAATATAAAAATCATCAGCGGTCATTCTCTGACCGAACGCCATACTTTCCTTCTCTTGTATAATTAAGTCGAGGAAGTAATAGAGAACAGTATAAATCATAGAAAAGTTGGGTGATATAAATGAACTGTCTTGGAATAAGAAATTATATAATTTAAGTGGGAAAAAACGTGTAGCGGATAAGGAAATGAGTTGACTTTAAAAGTAAATGAGATCACATTCAGTAGTTGCCTGATAAAAATAATTCGTGTCATAATTCTACATTTAAACGATAATTATAAAACATTTATTTTTTTGTACAGTACAATAATAGATGGTATTATTGATTTGCCCTTTAAGATTTACTTGATGTAAACTACAGAACAGGTTTTGTTAACTAAATGTAATGCAAGTCTTTATATCCAGACATTCAAAGTTATAAAGATATTTGCATAACAAATAATTATGACAAGAAAAAATACTTTAACGTATATTTCTATTTATACGAATACGTAAACGTCTGGAAGTGCTGTGCTTGTTTTAATATAAATTAATGATTTGAAAATCCGGTTTTGTGCTTTTTATTATTTGGTAAATATATCAAATAGAGTAAAGACTGTTCGAGACAGAAACTTAATAAAACGAAAACCTGCGTCATTGGAAAGAATTCTTCGGGATGCAGGGATTTTCTGTGCAAATGGAAAACCTGTTTAACCCGCCAAACCGGAAAAATATTCCGTACCGTGCGAGTTCGGTTTACACAGGTTTTATTGTAATTTTTTGGATTTAAAATGTATTACATTTATGTAACTTTTCATTTTTAATATGTAAATATTATTTTATTTGTGTTTAAAATACTATAAAACCTGTATAAACTGGACATGCAATGTTCCGAATATTTTTTTTTTCGTTTTGAACAGGTTTTTAAACATAGTAAAAAATTTTTAGGAGTCCAGCTATTTTCTATGTTCGCAGATTTCCGTTTGTTACGTTTCTTTGTTTTTGGACAGGTTCTGCTGTATAAAAGTTTCCATGATTAAATTTACCGGTAAATATTGAGAAAAACTGAGTAAAAACTTAAACTTACAATATCGCGTAAAATTGTTATAAAACTATTTAATAAAATTTAAAAAATAATTTCATTATAAAAAATTCTATATTTTCTCTGACTGGTGTAAAGATTATTCAGAGATTTATTTATAAATTATTTAATTAAATATTCCTGATATTAAATTAAATATCAGGAAAACTAATTAAGACCTAACTATTAATATACTATAATTGCATAATATTCAGTTGATAAATGACATAATAAATAAGTGAAATGTCCAAATATTTTATTTAAAGTGACAACAGCCTGATAAATCAGTGTTATACCACTGGCGTAGCGTAGTGGGGGCGGCAGGGGCGGCAAAATTTTACAATAAATAATAATATCTTGTAAAAATTTGAACCATTTCACTTCATATTTTTGTCGCACCGATTCGGACCGATTGAAATGACACGGAATTTTTCATTACTAATTCTGTGACAAAACTGAATTTTAGTCTTTTAAATTGCGATACCTAAATAAAGGGGCGGCAAAATTTTCCTCCGCTCCGGGCGGCTGATACCCACGCTACGCCACTGTGTTATACGTACAATATGTAATGTATAATGTAATACTGTATATAAGTAAAGCTTCTGTATTGGGTTCATCTGTGGCAATATTAATAAAACCACTCAAGTTTGATCGTGGGTTCGCCAACTATTACGATTGCCAACGCGCTAACCGCATAGGATTTCTTGGTTATTCTTCATTATTCAACCATCTAAATAGGGGTTATTTTTCTGTAGAAAGTTCTCCCGTGAGGGAGGATTTTCTACAGACCTCCTGCCAAGGAGGATGCCAAGGCATCCTCCTTGGCAGATCTCCCACGTTGTCGTAACCAAATAAACCAAACCATTCGACGATTTTTAATGAAGAAATGGCTAATTGTTTATATAAAATATAATTTAGAGACAATATCTACTTACATTTTAACGTCCATCCTTTGTTTTGTTTTAAATCGCCCAACAAACGCATCCCACCTCTTACACACGAGCGAGACACGTTTACTTCTTGAGTAATTTTCAACATGATGGGAAGCAACAATCGAGCAACGTTACTCGAAAGATAATTAAATATATTGTAAACATCGTTTAAAATACGGCCAGATTTTTCTACGTCATCGAAAACAATACTTCTGTTCGACTTGGATGAATCTTCAACAGTTGTGAAATTGGCCAGGGGAATTACTAAGAAAACAAAGAAGAGAGTTACTCTATTCATCATGGCTTTGACTTTGACCGCACTCTGAATGCTGAGTGCGATTCAAAATATACTGCGCAAGTATTATAATATTTTCAGGTAAATAAAACTTTACCAAATTTTCTTGAATTCCGCCAATCAGAAAAATTGGAACAGAGTCAAGAAAGGTTGGACTTTAAATATGAACACGCGAATTTAATATTGCGATATTTATANCGAAAACAATACTTCTGTTCGACTTGGATGAATCTTCAACAGTTGTGAAATTGGCCAGGGGAATTACTAAGAAAACAAAGAAGAGAGTTACTCTATTCATCATCGCTTTGACTTTGACCGCACTCTGAATGCTGAGTGCGATTCAAAATATACTGCGCAAGTATTATAATATTTTCAGGTAAATAAAACTTTACCAAATTTTCTTGAATTCCGCCAATCAGAAAAATTGGAACAGAGTCAAGAAAGGTTGGGCTTTAAATATGAACACGTGAATTTAATATTGCGATATTTATATATGTTTTGACCAAAAACATGAAAATTAACGAGATTGTTTTTTACGATAAAGGTGACGAATTTATAGTGAAAATACGAAAATTAATAAAATCAAAACTATTTTTGAGTTTAAGAACAATTGTTTATTAATTTAAAATTTTATTATTAATTTTACATTTACTTACTCGAAGATTTTTCTGTTTAAACTGTTATAAAAATGACAAATGAGCCAATCTTTTAATGTGTTATGATTAATTGTTTATTTAATAACTATCATTTGCATTTGTTGTTGTTTATATTTTCTTGCTTCTTTATTAATTCGTAAACTAAGTGATTTTGGTAGGGATAATGTATTCCGAATTTCAATTGTCTAGAATTACAGCAATCCAAGTAACTACTCTGACCGCAGGGTCGGCACCTCTTTAGCGCCTTGTCAGGATGACACCACTGTGTCTTGTGGACAGACACAGAAACCAGATCGCCCGTTAAATTTCGTTACGCAAACGGTCGCGTGTGCGGGTTTTCGGTTTCGGGGTGGAGGCGAAAGGAGAGATCCAGTGGAATTACACTCTACAGATTTTTATAAAAAGGAAAGATACCCGTTTATTATTTGATACAGATTTTGTACAAATCATTTGGATAGATACTTAGCCAAAACTAATACGATGAAACAACTCGAGATAACGAGAGAGAGAGTTTACATTAAGTTCGCGCAAGGATAAATACCTTGATATAAATAGTAGAATAGTTGGAAGGTAATCCACGTAGGAGATTTTAAGGTGGAACTTCAGGTAATCCTAAGATGGCATAAAGTTCTTTAAACTGGCGACGTTTTTCTTTCGGCGATCCATCCTCCGGAACGGCGGCGATTAGAACAGTTTGGGTGGCGGCGGATGATTAGCGGCTACTACACTCTCACACATTTCATTGAACACTGGAGAACTCTCCCTCGACTCATCGACCTCTTTTTTTATAAGGGGGTCGTCATTGGTTTTTTCCATGGACTTATTAGGACTTTTTCTATCGCCGTCCAATAGTTCTTTTTCTTCTTCTTTTCGTAGTTTCCGGGTGACACATTCGATATATCATCTTCATCCAGGAAATAAGTCCGTGGGAAAACAATTTAATTATCCTTTAAAATGTCGGTTTTTGGTTTATGTCTTTAATTTTTTTTTCTCAACAAAAAAAAATATTTAAACAAATTATTTAACTAAGTTCGGCTCTCACGCTACGTTCCTTTACGAATTAAGAAAGAAGTAAGAGACTATGTTTAAAATCCTGATCTCAATGAAATAATTAATGATTATTTATAATTTATAACATAATATGGTGTATATTCTGCAAGGTTAGAATTCGACAAGTCGAAGGGGGTAAATTTGCTGGACGTTGATGACTGAAAGTGACCATACTTGTTCTTAGTAGCCAAGTGTATAACCAGTTGACACATCTGTTTTTGAATTATAAATAAATATTTGAAAATATGATTAAATTATCAAATTTAACGTACCTACATTTATCTGCTAAAATTAATCCGACAGTATTATCTATCTTTATTATTATTATTATTATTATTTATATTCAAACAGTGACTAATGCTGCGTATATGTAGACGTTAATAATTTAAACTGTCATTTATTGATTTCATTCGTGAAAATATTAAAATTATCAATTGAATTAATTGCAAGAATGTTTAGGCTAACCATAATTACTAAACTTTATTTTTCACCATTCATTTATATTTTTATATTATATACAGAATTTATAAATTAAAATCTTTTAGTTTGTACAGTACACTTTATTTGTAAATCTATGATAAAAACATCAATGAAATAAATAAATAAATATATTTATTAAACAAAATTAAACAAGTATATGCATAGGTGACATTGACGGGTTTTTAAAAGGTCAAACTACATTGACACGAGAAAAACATCGTAAACTTTAAATTTTCCACTTATGAATATGTATAAATTTACTGAAATATATTTCATTTCTACAAGTATTTACGACGTTAATCATCTCTTTTGTGTGTTTACACGAAAATTAGCATTATTTTGTAAAAATTATAGAAAGTATTTTACGTTATACAAAGCATAAGAGGTGAAATGTTGTGTTTATAAAACTTTTCTATAAACTTATAATACAGGTTAAGAAATGCGAAAAAGCTTAAAAAATTTTAAGAAAAAGAATAAGAAACAATATTTCTGAATTAAAATAAGTTTAGAAATGAAATGTCACAAACTTCTCATTTGATACACGCCAATTGAATTAATTTTTAAAAGAAAATTTTATGAAATAGTAGTAAATAAGGATATTGCCAGCCTTATTGTTATAACTAGGAGATGCACCCGGTGTTCTCGGGCAAAAAATAATAACAGAAAAGATTAAGATTATTAGATGATTTCGTACTTCTAACCCTTCTACTATATTAAATCATAGTATTTGATTTAGGCTATATTTACAAAAGTTATCTAACGTAAGAATTTATCACACTGAATGATCAATCTAACTAAAAAAAATTTTTTTAAATGTTTTAGACTGGTCATTCGGTGTGATAAAGTCTTGCGTAAGATAACTTTATAGTTTTAAAGCCGATCTTGCCAGTTTTCATCGGGTGCAAGAATTAGGTGCCCTTCTTCCGTGGTTAATTAGAGAATTCTTAGATGGGTCTAAAAATATGTTCAATTTCGCGCAAAAGCGCAAAAAACTACATCAAAGACAGTACAGTAGAAGCCGAGATTGTCAGAATAATCCTTAAACCTCTTTCTCTCCCGCACCCGGGGAGGTGGGAATTTCAAAAAATCCCTTCTTGGTGCGCATTATCATGGTGTGTCCTCACTGTGTACCAAATTTCAACTCTCAACTCTTAACCGCTTGGATTCTGCGCTTATTATTATTATTATCGATTATATTATAAGATTATCAGACTTATCACCTTTACGATTTCTTTAATATCCCGGAATGCATTTTGGCTTTTTAAATAGCCCTCTTTATGTAACCCGAATGAAGAGGCTATAGTCTAATTATAACAATAAGACCAGCAAGTTTGTATCGTTATTTTTTGATACAAGCGGCATTTAGTCTGTTAATCTATTACATTTTAATGGATTAACAGACTAAAAGCTTCTATGGAAAGAATTTTATGAACATTAACTCACACATTTTATCTCTTTACTATCTTCATTAACAAAATTGCTATCTTAACGATTTTTAAATTATTACTTTAGATAGAAAATCGTATTTATATAATTTTTAAATAAAAATTTAATAATTCGATTTAATTTATATACTAATTTATCACGCTTCTATTATTTTAGAAGCTTTAGATCATTGTAGCATATGTTTATATACAGCGAAATGTCGCTATTTTTACATTAAAGTTATGAATATGTGCAGATCTTTAACAATTCTTATGAAAACTCATATTATAAATAAAAATTAGCCTAGTATAGATCGGTTAATAGATAAAGTAACTTAAAGGAAGTTTTGAAATCCACAGAAAAACACGTGTACGGTATATTAATCATATAAATATTTGTTTTTTCCGTTTAGTGCTAAACAAATATTTAAATGTTCTATTTTAATTTTATGTAATACGAGAGCAAGAAGCGCAGGAAAAATTAATACAGGAAAAAGTATATCGATATAATTATATAGTTTATATCAGCCATTATGATCCAGGACCCAAAGCCTCCTGAGGCCACTGAGAACTGAAAGGGGCCAAAAATGAAAGAAATCAAAAAGGGAGAAAAGGCAATTGAAAGAGGAACACGTGCACGATTCAGCTTTTTACTAGTGTTGATTGTACTACAGAAGAAAGATTTAAATTAATTAAAACTTGTTACTGTAAAAGATTTTTATGACTGGTATAGGCCTACAGTACATGTAATATGTATTACCTCCTAACACAAATTTTGTAGTAACTGAACTTGAAGACCTCATTTATGTAACAAACCGAATAAAGGACGCATGTTAAAGTTATAAATTACAAACAACTACTATCCACTATTACACTTCCGTTATTAAAATATACAGTAATTGTCTTATCAATCTTAAGCATTGGAATATACAGTAATTGTGTCATCAATAGCACTAATATAACACTCAAGCAATCGGTAGCACTCATGTTTGGAGTAGAGGCGTTTCCAATTTGTATTTTGGATCCATTTATTCTACAACAAAACGATCATAGAAATAAAATTTAGTAAAGTCTTGTAGGATCTTTGATCGTCGCTTATTTATTTATTTCTTCATTTTTATATGTAAAGTTTTACAGATTGGAAATACGTTTACATTTGATAGCCATTGATGAGAGATGTGCATTTTAAGAAGTATACAATCGATTCATTACGTTTATAAAAATCATAATATGATAGAAAAATATGAGGATGCCATGAAAGTTCAGAAGAGTTCATCAAGGAGGTCACAGCTGAAAAACGGTTGAGAATAAATGGTTTAAAATATGCTAATTTTTTATTTGCAGCATCTAAAATTATAATTAATTTTGCAATGTATTTTACAAAATACATATT